CAAATCCAGTCGTGGAATTTCCTCACTCCTAAATATTCCACAGTCAACTCTCAGCTGTATTATAAGAATGTGGAAGTGTTTGGGAACGACAGCAACTCAGCCACGAAGTGATAGGCCACGTGAACTCGTCCAACATCAGAGTGTGTGACCTCACAAATGCGCTTCTGGAAGAATGGTCAAAAATTCCCATAAACACACTCCTGAACCTTGTGGACAGCCTTCCCAGAAGAGTTGAAGCTGTTATAGCTGCAAAGGGTGGACCGACATCATATTGAACCCCATGGATTAGGAATGGGAGGTCACTTACACTAAATTCATATGCAAGTAAAGGCAGATGAGCGAATGCTTTTGGCAATATAGTGTATATTTTAACCTGGCCAGATAGGCATAAATATGCTTCAGTTGGAGTGTCATGTCAAAAGTTCAGCATTTCAAAGAATATGAAAATATGAAAATTTATAACCTTTCCTCTTCATCCCGCTATTTGTGCAGTCTTTTGTGTTGCATTTGTTCTCCCAGAATGTATTCCAAAAATGAAAAATCTTTACTTTGGGCTACAACTATCTCTGTTGTAGAGCTATAGTGTCTGTCACTGAGACACGTTGCACAATGCTGATATTACGAAAGAGATTGTGGTGTAATTGCTTACAGCTTATGGACCCTGCTTCCTGTTTTCATTTTTAATATACATAAACTACATCGATTGCACAAGGAAAAAGAGGTCACAAACACAACGCCCCCCTCCCCTATCTTTGGGGAGAAAAACCATTTTATTTATAAAAATAGGGTTACATACTACGTTCAAACAGTTTCTGGATTTGGTCGCAGCTAAATTTGGCTCCCTGTCAACCCTTCATTAAACAGAAATATAATAGCAGCTTTTGTATAGTAATCTCTGTGTGGTTTAATTTTTTTCCCAGTGTTTATTTCTGAAAGGATTGAACTGTAAAGGTTTTTATATTGTCAAATGTAATTACCTAAAGCTGAAGACCGTGATACCCAAAAGGGGCAAGTGAGGTAGCTCACATGGGATTGTGTAGTTTTCGGAAATAAAAGCTAGCTGGTTGTTGTCTTGTTCACTGCATATACTGTGTTCTGTTGGAAGTGGAATTAGCAGTCGTCTGAGTATGTGAAGTGAACCAAATAAAAGCAACTCACCCCACCTCCCACCTCTTACGACATTCTTATTCATAACTTTTGCTGACATGGTTTTACTGTAGTGGCATGTACTTCAGTTGAAAAAAAAGTGCCATTTCTTAAAAACATGCTTACAGCTTTATCTGTAACATTACAGGACTATGTATTAACATCAAGAGATGGATACGGATAGTGATAATCAAATGCTTTCAGGAATAGTGCAATTGGTTTTTTTTTTTTTAATATGTTTCATTCTAAACTCTCTTAGGATTGAGTACTGTTGAGGTAGAGCTAATAAGGTCAAATCCCTAGTCATGAATGTAGGTTATATTTATTTATGAGCCTCATTATGCCCCATCTACTCAATCTACTTTACAGAGCTGGTAGTATGGTAAAATAGGGAAGAAGATTCCCCCAAAGCTCCTTGAGGGAAAAGATAAATTGGCAAACATTCCAAGGGCTTGATTTGTTTTATTTTTGCTTTTGCTTCATATGCAGGTGCCAATATTGCCACGGGAGAAGAAGTAGCCATTAAATTGGAATGTGTGAAAACCAAGCACCCACAGCTCCACATTGAAAGCAAATTTTACAAGATGATGCAAGGTGGAGGTAAGTTCGTAGGCTTCAGAGCCTGATGCTTATGTTTCAGTAGTTCATAAAGGCTTTGAAAAGGCCTAAAGACATTTGTGAATGAATGGTGTGTGAGCACATATCTCCCCCTTGCCAAGGTCCTCTTCTCATCTCTTTTCAGTGGGCATTCCTTCCATTAAGTGGTGCGGGGCAGAGGGTGACTATAATGTGATGGTGATGGAACTTCTGGGGCCCAGCCTAGAAGACCTTTTTAACTTCTGCTCCCGCAAGTTCAGTCTCAAGACTGTTCTGCTTCTGGCAGATCAAATGGTAAGTTCTTATTTGATTGTCTGTTCCTTGTGCTCTTCCTGATTCCCTTTCACAGCAATTGCTTGTCCTTTAATAGCCAAACCTGGGGCACTCAGATAAAGCTGAAAAACATTGGCAAGTCCCTATTATCTCTCTAGCTGTTGTAGAAGGAGCAGTGCTGCGCTGTAGACTAGCAGCTGGGACATCTTGCCAAAGTTGAAGACTAGTGTTAACTTTAAAGCATTCTCTGTGCTCTTTTCCCAGTTCCTTTGAAAAATTCTGTCTTTTGGCTCCCATCTTAAGACTAAATCAATTGGCATGTGTTCCACTTTCACCTGCTGTGGGCAGGTAGGGCTTCACTTTTGCGTTGAACTGTGGGAAGTATTGAGATCCCCATATTTCTTGTTTGAGGTGACAGTGGGTCTTCCAGTTCATGAGATCACAATGTCTACCTTGCTATAAAATTATTGGCACTCTCTTCCTCTCCTTTCTCTCACCTTTCCTCCATTCGTCTCAATCTTATTTCCAGATCAGCCGTATTGAGTACATTCATTCCAAGAATTTTATCCACCGAGATGTGAAACCGGACAATTTCCTTATGGGACTAGGCAAAAAAGGCAACCTAGTGTACATCATTGATTTTGGTCTGGCCAAGAAGTACCGAGACGCCCGTACCCACCAGCACATTCCCTATCGGGAAAACAAAAACCTCACCGGCACAGCCCGTTATGCCTCTATCAACACTCACCTTGGGATTGGTAAGTATTTTATGTTCCATCATTGTTGAAAATCCGACACAGTGGTGGGAGAGCAATTAAATCTAAATCTGTATCATCATATTGGTTATAATTTTGGTGGAGTGGGATATACTAATTACCAATTTAATGGAAGCATTGTTCCTTTAATCTTGAGGTATTTTGTTCTTATTGCATGTTATTTTGCCCTGTGACAGGGCAAAATAATTGCATTACCTTTCAGATTAAGTGTGCATGTAGAAATTGATTAAATATTCTGTAGAAATTATAAAGAAGAGTTAACTTGAGAAACTTAAGTCTTAGGTTTTCTTCAGGTTGAATCTCTTAAGACAGAATTTATATAGCAAATTAAGCCAAAATTCATCTTGCTGGTTTGTAATACATTACAGGTAGTCCTAAACGTATGACCACAATTCAGCCCAAAATTTCTGTTACTAAGCAAGATAGTAATTTTTTGCCCCATTTTATGACCTTTCCTGCTGCAATTATTAAGTGAATCTCTGCAGTTGTTAAGTTAGTAACACAATTGTTAAGTGAATCTGGCTTCCCCATTGAATGTTATATATCCTACCTTTATTATTGTTGCAAATGAGGTAGCTAATTTATCTAACACACCTTCCTCCTCCTCTCCCCCCCCCCCAACAAACAACATCTCTGTGAGGTGGATTGGGCTGAGAGAATGTGACTGGCCCAAAGTCATCCAGCTGGATTCCAGGACTAATGTAGGACATGAACTCACAGTCGCCGGCAGTCACTTTTTTCAGTGGTTGTAAGTTGAGGACTACATGTATATGAACCCAGACACCATGTATAAAGCTATACAAATACAAATACAAATTTTCTATTTGAAGCATTTCAGAAGTACTTTTTTAATGCATTTTAAAGAAGGCAACCATTTATTTAGTCATAACTGTATTGAATTGGCTGCTATTTGGGATTATGTCCCTCGAATTAAATTTGAGTGTGCAAGTTGTTCTTTGGCTTGTCCTTTGTCATAAAAGCGTTTTCACCAACAACAGCTATTCAGTGACGCATTACAATTTCTGGTTAAAATTTTAATTGAACATGCCAGCATGTTCAATTAATCAAAGGGATTTTTGCACTCCCATCCTACCAGTGTAGTCTTAATATTCAAAAACCAGCCAGCATAGTCTGTATTCTCCTAATGAAGATTAAAAAGCTAAAGAATGTAGAGAAGAATATAAAGTGCAACAATGCTTTTACAAGGTAAAGATCAGGTGTTTGGGCTCTTTAATTTTAGGAGAGAAGAGAGACTTATAGAATGATTGATTATTTAGCTTATTTGATTCTGTTCCAGAGTTTTGAAGTTCAGGTCCCTTTGTGATCTGGTTTGTAAAAAGGGATCTAAACAATGAACCCAAACACCAATAATCATATATTATTCAAAAACATGAATGTGTATTTGGATATTTTAGGATTCATTGCTTGAATGGATATTTTTAAAGCATTGAAGAAATGTGTGGATGTTTTAATGGCAACTGAAAACCTCTAGGTTCAGATACAATATGCCTATAACAACTAAATATATTTTCTTTGCTTACTAGCTTACCATGAAACTTAGCTGTCCACTAGGAGATGAAGGGGACTGAATTGATTTATGCTATGATGCAGCAAGGCAGCCAGCTTCTGGATCTAGTGAAAATTGTAGGCAGTTTCCAAATCACCTCTCTCTGCCACATCACATCACTGCAGAATATGAAGCAGTGATACAGTATGTTATTAGAGTTCCTGTCCTGACTAGTGAATGTTTAGACGTCAAAGTTTAACCAACCTTGTGCGCTGTGTAATATTGGACTGTCAATTGCGAGTCTGTTTGGTCTAGTGGTTAAGGCACTAGGATTGAAACTGGGAGGCTGTGACTTCTAGCCCCTCCTGAGGCATGAAAGCCAGTTGGATGACTTTGGGCCAGTCACTCTCTCTCTCTCAGCCCAACGTACCTCAAAGGGTTTTTGTCGGGGGGAATGGGTGTTTTAGAAACGTGGGGGAAAAAAACAAATAATAACTACATAACTAAAAATAGAGGGCAGGAGCATTAGGTATGTTTACCACTAAGTTATTTCTAAAAATATTGACTATATACAAAATAAATACGGGACCAAGAAATTCCAGTTAGCCTATGCTTAAGATCAGAAATGATTTAAATTGTTTAAAGTTAATTCAGCAAGAAGAAGCTAAGATCAATGTAGAGATGTCATTAATTTCTTTATTTCTTTTTTCTCAATAGATTTTAGTCTGTGTTTTTTAAAAATCCCTACCGGGTACGGGTTCTGGGAAGTCAGGGGGGGGAAGGAGGAGGGGGTTGGGGGGAGGGTGGGGGGGGGGGGGGGGATACATTAGGCTAGACAAGAATTTGGTGGTAAACTAGAACTATTTTGACACACAAAAAATTGTACTCCGATGTCTTACTGATTGAGGAATGATGAAATGTTTGTTTTAAAAGAAATAAAACTTTTGAACCGGGTGGGGGGGGGGAAGTTATTTCTAAAAATAATAAACATGGGATAAAAATAAATAAAATTGCTGCTTGCATTGGCCACTGGCATGATCAAAGAAGGAGCCATTATGGCTTCAAAAGCATGCAAAACTGATCCCACATTCCACAAACAGACCTGATGTGTTGCTTTTGGGGAGTTTGGATACGGAAATAGTTTTTGCAGCTGCAGAAAAACGTATAGTTGATGGAACGTCTCTACTTGATTGTGTTGAAACTGATAAAATAAATTTTGCTACTTGGAGAATGGGGAGGTGGGGGTGTTGTAAACATCATCCACGTCACACATAGATGAGGGGGTGGAGAGACGACGAGTGTTCCGCATGCTCTGCATTTTGAACATTGCCCAGAAAGACTGGGTTGCTCCTCCCTCACAAGTTTCTGTTTTTAGCTGGCTAGAAGTATGAGAGATTGGGCTTTGCTCTATCTATCTCAAATAATTATATTTTTAATAATTGATTTAATCCCGGATACACTTTCATTTGCCTGGAAAGTTCTGAGCAGCAGGAATGATTAGATGTTAGATTTTTCTCTGCATTTATAATTTATCTAACTAAAGTGTATGCAATATTCATCTCACTCCCAACATTTGTGATAACATTTGGTCTGATTTTTCTTATTGCCTGATTTTTCTTATTGCCTGATTTCACAAATAAAAGCCAGTTTGATCTAGTAGTTAAGGCACCAGGCTAGAAACCAGGAGACTGTGAGTTCTAGAGCCCTCTTAGGCATGAAAGCCAGCTGGGTGACTTTGGACAAGTCACTCTTAGACCAGTTCATGGGGTGGTTGTTGTGGGGAAAATAAGAGGAGGAAGTATTGGATTTGTATGCTACTCTAAGTTATTTATAAAAATAATAAAGATAGGATATAAATAAATATGATAGCATAATAAAAAGAGGGAGGGAGAGATTAGAATTGGGGTGGGTGGGTTGATTGAGATTTGCAGTGCTCATTGTTGGGCTTGACTGGGATGTTCTAACTTCGAAAAAATCCTTTCCCAAGAATCTTCCCCCCAAAAAATTATTAGACAAAAAAAAGTATGTGTTACTTGAATGCAAGTGATTTGCTCAGAATTTCAACTGGCCTCCTTGATTTAGTTGTTCTCCATGCAACCCAAGCTATATAATCTTCAAATGTGTTCACTGTTCTCCCTTAGGCAGCATGTAGTGGGAGGATGATTAGTAAGAGGGGCAATCCACTCTTTGCTACAAGGAATTGCTGGCTTGGTTCCCAGTGCTACACCATAATGTTGGGTATCTGTTATAGGGATGCCATAAATCCATACCCCCGAAAGAAAATGTGGCTGACAAAACATAATGGATTCATATATTATATTAAACCCAAATTAAACTACGTTTCAGTTTGGTTCTCATAAATATTTTCCAGGGAGCCCTTGGTTCCTGAGGATGAAGTTAGACCGACAGATTTTTAAAATCTTTCTTATGCCCTGTTTCCCTAGCTTAGTGTTCTGCAGATGGCTTGGGACAGGGATCTCCAACCTTGGCTACTTTAAGCCTGGAATTCCCAGAATTCCCCAGCCAGTTGAAGTCCGCCAGGCTTAAAGTTGCCAAAGTTAGAGACCCTTGGTTTGGGATGTCTTAAGTTCAGCAATCCTGGCTACATCATTCCACAGGAGAATTGTATTAAATTTACTTATAATCCATGGTGCAGGGCCTGGATATCCATTAGACAGCCTTTCCCAGTAGTTTCTGACTACACAACTGGAACAACTGGGAATATCTATCAAGGGTACCCATTCTTATGACCTTCCAGAAGCTGGTGAAAAGGTATCCCTTCCAGGGGATTTTTAGAGATGAGTTGCAATCAATAGCCCCTATATAATGTCAAATTTTAGTTAATATTCTCAGTATTAGATTTGTAAATTAGGTTATTGGTTTTATCAATTCATTTTGATACTGATTTTGGATTTGAAATTGTAAACTATAAGCCATCTATAGAACTGTGCAGGTTTCAAGTGATAGATATAGCACATTATTACATTTATGTCAACTTTTACAGCTATTTACTTATCCACAGCTCCGAGTGGCTAAGAGGTGTTTTAAAAAGTATAACACTTAAAACTGATTTCAACTACCATACTTGGCAGAAACATATATTTGCGTTTAAAGAGCCCGAGGTTAGGGACATTTGGGCCTAGAAAGATAAAAATTGTTTTTGACACATATTGGGGGTTTCAATTGTAGAAGTTGAAATTAAAGTTGTCATCCATCTTTCCGAATCCTTCAGGAAACACCAGCCTTGGGTCTTGATGGAAAATTTTAGCCTAGAAAAATGAACACGAGAAATATCATAATTAACCTGTGGTTCTTTTCTCTGTGATTAAGGTGACATCGTGTGCTAAGTCATATTTGGTTTATTTGGTTTTGTATTAGCATTTTTGTAAACCTAGTCAAAGGGATGTAGTGGCTAGGACGCTGAGCTTGTCGATCAGAAAGGTCGGCGGTTTGAATCCCTAGCGGCGCATAATGG